AAGAAAAAATTAATTCGAGTGACCGGAGTTGGACGAACGCTAATGGGAGAGTGACTAAATGTGACATGTTTTTAGTAATTCGAGTGACCAAAATTGATACTAGTTTTTTCTAGTGACTAAACATAACGCGATTTAGTAATCCCAGTAACCAAATGTGGCATTTACCCTATTTACTTGTCAACTAGTTTTCTAGCTATCAAACACCACTTCAACAAATTTATAGTGCATGTGTTACAACAACAACATTGTACAAATTTGTACAAGATCGAAAATTATGAATGATCATTTTGAAATATACAGTGATAACTATGTCCTCCATAATGAGTTTATTCTTTAGTTTTTTTTCTCTCCAGAAAATGAGAACGCGTGAGTCAACATAAAACATAATTAAGCATATTATGATTTTTTTTACGAGTCTAGGTTAAACGAAATTTTAACTACGCCACAGTTTGGAATGATTATTATAGAGTAGCATTCCACATGAATATAGATAGGGAGATAGATTCTTGATACAACTCTCTGTGATACTGGTATCATTGAATCTATAAGTTGGCAGTAGTGGTGTACTTGCAGTTTGCAAAACATCTTAGTCATCTATGAAATTACGTTAATTGAATATGTAGTCATGCACGTCTTCATTCTCAAGTCGTTCAGACTCAATTGTACGCACATGAATTCTCTCGTTTTGACTTTTCTTAAATCATATTATAAATCTAGTATAGCTATAACAAATTGCTAGTATTCATGTCTCAAACAATTTAATTTCATACTTCTTGTCATCGCCTAATATCTTACTCATGAAACAGTTCCCCATCCATTTTTATATTAAATTTTGAAATTTCATTTTGATCATGATTTTTTTTATGTTGGTATTCTATCATTCAATCCCTTATATGTTGATCTACCTTGATCTTTATTGCAATAATACACCTTATCTTATTCATATCCAAAAAGAAACGAATATGGGTATGATATATCTGCGATTGTCACTCATTAATCAATGTCTACAAAGTTGTATTGCTCGGAAAATCGAGTATTTTCATAACATAGTTCAATCCATAAATCTTGCACATATTTGTAGCCCTTTAATTTGAAGCCATGTTGAGGATGTGAGAGTAGAAGGACATGGGTAGTTGGCCAGTAATAAATTAAGGAACCAAAGCAACGAGAAAGAAAGTGAACAAATAGATGTAATGAAAACAAAAGGGGAAAATGCAGTGTCATCATGGCCTTTTGTGTGCTCTACAAACTCATGAGTCATGGATCCTTGTGTTGGAACTTGGTTCCTGAATTTTTACCCAATATACCTTCATGATCACTAGAATGATGTTAAGAAATAAGGCAATTAATATTTTATATGTATTTTGTACCACCACCTATGGAATATATATTTAAATAAATGAATGTGTTGAAAAAGACCCATTAAAATAAGCTAGGGCCTTGTCAATTTCCTTCTACTCTCTCTTAAGTTTTAGTGAGCCGAATAAACGAAACATAGCTTGTTGATCTTTCCAAATCATCCAAAGGAAATACGGAAAAGATATTTTTTTTATCTTCTATCCTCTAGGTCTTTACATGAACATATTCTCCTGCTTTGCAGTCAAAATTATTGAACGACATTATTATAAGTTAGTTGTATATCAATCATCGATTGAAATCAAATCATAACTCAAACGATTTTTTTTGTATAGATAAAAGCTACATTGCTACAACAACTAAAATGAGATGGTAAAAATCAACAAAGAGTCCATAAAACTTGGATATATGATTATGACATTGTTATGGATGGTAGTATATACGATTAATATAAATGAATACAAATTGGAGGTACTGCTACGTCGAAAAAATCTCATTCTCTGCCAAAATCCAAATTGAGTTTTTCTGCATTCTTTCCAAATGAAAACTCGAGTCAGTGTGGTTCTCGTTGATTCGTTGCGTTTGTTGTTTTTCGGGGGTTGAGGTATTGCTACGTCGAAAAAATGTATGTCATTTTTATCAGGGAAGAATCATTCCGGAACGCTAAGTATCAAAATGGATTAGGATTTCTTAAGGAGAGACGGTGTATTCTGTGGTTAATTAGAACGATTGCATATGTGTATTTCATGATCTTATATATTAGGGCTGGGAATCCGGATTCGGTTTACCGGTCAAACCGGAAACCGGAAACCGAATTCGCAACAACCCAATCCAATTGCCGGTCGCTGTCTGTCTGGGAAAAACCGGCCCGGTCCGGTCCGGTTTAAAACCGGAAAACTGTTTAAAAACTGGATGGGTTAACTGACCAGGCCCAACACTAAATTATAACTGACGGCCCACTAAATTATAACTAATTGACTAGGCCCAACAAAAAAATTTCCAACCCACTAAGTCACTAACCCAGCAGGCAGCCCAATGACCCAGTCCACTAAGTAACGAAACCCTAATTGCCTAAGGGGATTTGCGAATAGGGCAATCGGCTGTTCCTCTTCCTCCCCTTCAATCTCCATATGCGCAGCTGAGGATGAGAGGTGCTGCCTGAGTGCCTGCCGCGATGCCGCCTGGTTTGCTCACCCCTCTCGCTCTATCCCTCGGCGGCGACGACGACGAGTGGCGGCGACGAAGACGAGTGACGAGTCGAACAGCGGGCGACGAGTGACTAGTGACGAGCGTTCGAGAGCAGTCTCCCCCATCTCGGCTTCTCCTGTACATCTCCCTTCGAGACTCGAGCGTCGATCTCCTCCGTCTCCTGTACATCTCCCTTCGAGCGCCATCATCTACCACATTTCTCCTGTCAGGCGTTGATCTCCTCCGTCACCAGACGCAATCGACGAGCCGACGACACCTCGAGATTACGGCGAGCCGCGACGACCTCGGTAGAACGGCGGTAAGTCTCTGACCCTCGCCTCTTCATTTCTCATGGATTTCCCGTCAATCCAGCCATCCCCTGAGTTGATTGATCATTTAATGCAGACATGCAGTCGCCCCAGCCACCAGCAGAAGCCGTTCCCACTTCCTCCCAGCAGCAGAAAACCAGGTCGACAAGAGAGAATCGAGAGATGCAAGGAAGCAGCAGCGTCTGGGTAAGTTCGAGGAAGCCGAGGGTTTGAGAACTGGGATTGAACATTGCAAATTCTTATTTTGTGATTGAGAATGAGATGTGTGATTGTATAATTTGAAAGGGAGATAATACAGAATTACAGATTGAGATGGTCGACCAGCCGGTCGTTTGGTGGGGTTTCCGGTCAAAACGGTTTTCCGGTCAAAACCGGACCAAACCGTATCTTATCCAGTCCGGTTTGGTTTAAACCGTGTCCCAGTCCAATCCCGTCCACGGTTGGGCATAAGTCCAATCCGGTCATAAAAAACCGGGTCAATCCGGTCCGGTTTAAACCGAACCGGACTGTTTCCCAGCCCTATTATATATGACTTGTATTGATTTCATAATCTTATATATGACTTCTGTTGCAAGAAATTCAGTATAGGTTAATACATGACAGTTCTTATACATTAAGTGCAACTCTAACAATATCATAATGGAATTCCTCAATTCCTCGTTACTGAACTCTTCTCCTCATCGATGAAGAAGAAACACGTAAGTACCAGTAATCCCATTCTTGTCCCTTCCAAACACGCATACCAGCAGTAACTGGGAGTTGCCATTCTTATAATAATTTGTGTAGTTCAACGAGTCATAGCTCCAGCTTACGCACAAAAACCTGTGCGTTGACTATTCTTCTTTTTAAATATATGCTTATATAACTGTCGTGACCTTGGAAGCTAAGTACTGCTGACTGATGAGCAAGTAGAAGCAGGCCGTTTAGCAAGAAACGACGTCAGACGATAGCGCTGCCACACGTACCATGAAAAATCGAAAAGTCTGATCAAGATTAATTAAAAGACCACTTCTCAAAGGAAAAGCATACAAATACATACATATAATCTGACTTCATAATCCTCACCGACTTCTAAGCTTCAGTGACTCACAACCTTTCCTTCCGATACATCATTAATTGTCTAGATAATGTTGGCAACTCCCCAACATATTGCTAATCATATCATTATTATAATTAAACATGACCTTCTTCTATGTTCTTTAAGCAACAAGCTTGCTTAACTAGGATGGTATAAAAGAACCCGACTCGTCATACGATCATAACATTATAACCTATGATGTCGTGACGATAAATCGCGTTGATCGGCACAAATGTTATGTAACTTCACACGAATATCCATAATCAATGGATCTATACTAACATATGTCTATCTCTTGGTCGAAAAAGCAAGCATGCACCAGATATTGAATATATGCATTATTACAAGAACGAATTGATACTTATTATTAACTTGATCAAGACAGTTACCAGAAATTTTTAAAGTAGTATACGTACATGGAAGCTGGATAAAGAAAGAAAGAAACAAAATGGATGAATCTAATTGAAACTGTCTTATGTTGTTAAGTTACAGTTTACCTAACAAGACCCCCACATGGCAAAATCCCCCCACTTTCAAATTTTTAACTGCACCATCATCAGCACCACACAATTACGTACTCATCTAATTTACCCAAAAGACAAAGGAAACTGGTTTATGTCATAATTAATAAGCCAACTTTTCTCATTAGTGTTTCTCATGAACATTTGGAATTAAAGAAACAACAAAGTAAAAAATAAAAAAGTAAAAATAATAAGCAGTGGAAATACGTGCCTGCCTGCCTCCAAATGCTCATCTTCTTCCTCCTTCCACGTTGGTGTAAATTGACCCTCATAATGAGAGCTGGGAAGAGCTCCACGGGCATGGCCATTTTGGTGCAACAATGCCCACCCAATCATCACGACTTCTCCTCCTCACTAAGTCACTTCTACCTGACCATGTTAGCTCCTCTCACAAAAATTAACTCATAGCTACCTAATTTTCCTTCCCACACTTTTACACTAGCAGGGAAGACAGAAAGAAGGAAGGAAGGAAGGAAACATGAGTAGTACATATAATAATAATAATGATAATATGATAATGATGGTAAATCAAATGCCTAATCGAAGCTCCAAATCCAGCTGCTTGGACGACGTCGTCGTCCCAGTAATGACACCGATCTCCAACTCCAAACTCACATTAACCTCGTCATTATCATTATTATTATTATTATGAAACCGATCTCCACCTCTCTTCCGAAACTTATTAGCTCCATGATGATGATCGCACCATGACGACGATGAGTAGTCTCCTCCGAAGAGAGACTTCCGGGTCCCGACTTTACTCAGATGGTCCGGGACAGCGACGACCCGGCCCACCGCCTGATGGTCCAGAACTCTACCCTCAATGGGGGCCCATGGCGATCTCCGACCCACCGGAGAAGGAGTGGAGACCAGCTGGAGGGGAGGAGGAGATGAGAAGCTAGGGTTAGGGTTAGGGTTGTTGAGGTTGAGGTTGAGGATGGGGATGGGGTAGTTTATATTATGGTGAGGTTGGTGATCTAACGACGGAGGTGGTGGTGGAGGTGACTGGCGGAGGCGGGCCCGGTCGCGGCGGTGGACGTTCATGTGGCCGCCGAGGGCCTGAGCGGACCGGAACTCCCTCTTGCAGAAGCTGCACGTGTAGGATCTCGGCGGCCACGAGAATCCGCCGCCGGTGAGGTAGTCTTGGTGGTGGTGGTGGGGGTTAGGGTTGTGATCATCTCCTCCGCCGCCGCTGGAAGCGGTGGTGGAGGTGGTGGTGTAGTTCCACGGCGGTGGAATGTCCTTGGCCTTGTAGAGAGAGGGGGAGGATCCGGTGTGGGCTCCCCCACCGGTGATGCTTTTGTGGTCGTTCGTCGGCGGTGGTTTGCTGCTCATGAGGAGATGATTTCTCTGCCTCTCCATGGCTAGCGAAGAGAAGGAGAAGGAGAAGGAGAAGGAGAAGGAGAAGAAGGTGATGTTATGATATTATGAAGATGAAGAAAAACAGCTAGTGACATTGGGGGAAGATATATATTAATGTGTTTTTTTTCCTATTCATTATTATAAAGTTTAGTTTGGGAAAATGAGGATGATGATGATGATGAGTTTCTTCTTCTTCTTTCTTGGTTTTGTGTTTTTGGTATGTTTGGAGGGGTCACATTGTGTTGCTATTTATGTAAAACCTCTGGCTCCCTCAGGTTTATACCTTTTTGCCATATCAGTGAATGTTCTTTTCCTGGGTTTTTTTTTATTTAATATTTTTTTATTTATGGGTCTGTCTTTTTCTGCTTATTGTTTTGCTCTTTACTTCTTTGAATTCCATCCCTCTCGAGCTCGCATTATCATGCCATTATTCAATGCGCAATAAAATAATAATGAGCTATGGGGGGGATGACTTGGCTGCACATTAATGGTTAGGCATTGGGAACATAAGGGGAAGACAGGAATATTGGTAGTGTGACGAGCTTAGCTACTTCTTTCTTAAATTCACTGTTTGGATTCACGAAAGGTAAATTAATATATTTTAATATAATTAACCCAGCACATACACAAATCAGACATTAATTAGGCACCATATTCAATTCAATGCTTCTTCTTTTCTGATGCATCATGAAACTGTAGTTCCCAGCCCATTGTTAATTACGTGGGAGTTGAGAGAAACAGAGGCTTTGGTTCATCATTATTATTAATTACCAGCAAAATTTCATTAAATTCAGTTGTACTACTATATATCATCTGCATACCTACTAAACAAAGGTAGCTGCGACCAAATTCAATTGCTCTCACCCCCTCCACTTCAGTCTAGCTAGCTAGGGTTTCTTCTGTGATCAGGAATAATTAATGTATTATTATAAGCTGGTTAAATTGAATGAATCTCTTTCATCATATGTATGAACCATTCCAAGTTCATGAACTACAATTAATTTCTCGCTAATCATAATTTCCCAATGATCTTCACGTTGATAATAATTTATCTCTCTTTTTTTCCTGAACCTAACTACTTCTTTTCTTACATTTCTATTCTTTCAGAACTTGTATGACCTTTCTTATTCTTATCGGATGTTGATAGTAATTTAGTTGATCGAGCCAATTTGTTAATAACTTAAGGATAACTAGTTAAAAGGCTCTAATATCATGCATGTTAATAAATCAGGGACAACTAAAAATCAATGTTTTTTTCATATTACTAATTACATTCTCAGGGTTTATATTAGTACATGTCACTCTGTTATATATTGGTCGCATTATCATATAGCGTTGTGTACTGTTTGTCATCGTTCGTATGTAACTTATGTGTTTGTCGGATTACCCACTATAACAAAGTTGAGGAGCATTGTCAAAGGATTTTAGTTCGCATCATCGAGTTCTCCTCTCCAACTTGACTCGCAATGTGCAGTCCACTTTCTACCATCCGCTTAGCTTTCTCATCTACTGTGAAATGAGCACAGAGGAAAGTCTCAAAGTGAAATGAGCACATGCTATTTTGATGCAACTCACTGCGAGTCTCTGAAGGGTGCTTAAACCCACCAGCTTGGCCAGAAATGTGGCTGTGTTATTGGGGGCACAATCGTCAAACTTTCATGGTTGGTCTTGGTTCTACTCTTTCCCAAGAGAAAAAAATAATCCCTTTAAAAAGTAAAAGGAAATGAGGACAAATGTAACATAATTAAACAAAAGCTATTAATCAGGGAGGTTTCGTACAATAAAGCTTGTAAAAAGAAGGGGGGAAAACATTCCTTTATGTTGGGTTTTTGTTTTCCCTAATCGAGGAGGAACAACCCGCAACAGGTCGCCACCCACACCCTCCCATTTTTGTTACAAATTGGTGTCTCTCGCTTGGTTGGCAAACTAAATAGCAGAAACAATGATGGGAATCACTAAGTTTAACTCTCTCTTTATCTTTCATCCCCCTAGCTAACAAGATTTGAAGTGACAACTCATTTTTTTCAGTCCTTTGTAGTTGATTAGGGTTGCAAATTGATGGTTGGAAACGAGATGTTGATTGATTATGTGTCCAACGGCAAGGATTAAAGTTTAAAAGACAGCGAGGGTTGGTGGTACTTAATGTTCGAACCAACAAACAAAAGTGTTTCGTCTTTAAAACAGCACGAAAAAAGGATAAGTTGTACATAAAATAGAGAAATGAAAAAGGATTGGGTGGAAGAGCCGAAGAGAGCAATAGAAAAGTTGTTAAAACGATCATTTGGAATTCCATCAACCAACATTGTGACACGTGTTATGATGAGATTTGTTTATTGCGCACTTAATATGTGGAAAAGGATGAGTTAAATAAATAAAGTGAAACGTCGACATATGCATGTAAACATGTTTGGTTAGTTCGAAACTTCTAATCTCCTCTATTTTTATCCATCGTGCTTGTGATGCTCAATAGAAGTCCTTGGATCATCATGATTGCAATGTTGCACTACTTCTGTTGTTGTGTTGGGTTCACCTTATCTGCTTCTTTCGGTAGTACACGTTATCAGTGCCAACGGTTAGGTGGATTGATTGATGTCGATTTTTCTATATAAGAGTGAATAATGCGTTAAAAAGAAAGCATACAGTCTTACAAAAACAATGCTTTGCAAGGAATGATAAATCTCGAATGAGGTTGATTTCTTAATATTGTATTTAGTGACATAGTCCAAATTCAAGCTAATTAAATAAGGTGTTTTGATTAAACATATATAATGCTTTAAATTGAAATTTTTTAATTAAAAAGATACATCGAGTTGTTTTTCGAACAAAATATCACGCCATGAATTCATTTTTTCAAAACATGTAATTTCATATTTGAATAACATTGTAGTGGGAAATGTTCGACTCACTCATAAAGATTCAAGTTCAATCTAACTTTCATCAAATATCCTTGGAAGGACTCGTTTACTTTTATATTAAAAAAACATCATAAAACATGTTTGGAAAAGATTAATGTGACATTTGCACTTGCAAACACTTAAATGAAGGTAGATAATTGATTGTTTTTTTATTTTTTCAGCGAATATAAAAATAATAAGTCAAGTCAAGTCAAGAATAATAATCGAACGGGAGCTTATACAATATGCTCTATAGACAAGCAAATTAACAAATCCAAATTATGTTTAATTTATCTCCATAAGTTTCATTCACCAAAAAATAATAAGTCAATAATAATAATCGAACGGGAGCTTATACAATATGCTCTATAGACAAGCAAATTAACAAATCCAAATTATGTTTAATTTATCTCCATAAGTTTCACCAAAAAATAATAAGTCAAATCAAGTCAAGAATGATAATCGAACGGGAGCTTATACAATATGCTCTATAGACAAGCAAATTAACAAATCCAAATTATGTTTAATTTATCTCCATAAGTTTCACCTCCCTTCGTGAATGTACAATTCATCATATGTTGTGCGGGGCTAGGCAGGTTGAGTAATTTTCTTGACACAAATCCGATATGTCAACCAACATGGACTTGTCGTATCAAAGAAACATATTGAACGATTCAGTTATTTTCTATATGGAAAAAATAAATGAAAGTACTTCTAAATAAAAATAGAAAATTATTCATGTATGTTCAGCAAAATATGATTTTTCTTATATGAGATCCATCGAAAAAAGTCATTGGAATTATTAATATGGCTATTGTTGGAGAAACTGACTATTTTCTCTAATAATGTATAAACAAACTTAGAAAGTTTAGAATAGAGAAAAAGAAAATGAAAATGAGGAGAGTGAGCATAAGCCAAACCAATGAGTTCAGCGGCTAAACAATATATATATAATATGAATTTAAATTTCGTCAAGTTTAGTACATGGTTGAACCTATCAAGAAGATGCACATAAAACAATTGTAACTAAAATCGCGATGAAACTACATCACTTTGATCCCCGTTAGTATATATTTTATGGTTAAATCGATATAATTTAGTCGTGACCAATATGGTACGATTAAGCAAATCGAGCTATTTTAGCTGTTACCATCTCATAGGTGGGGGAAAAAGAAGAATAAATCAAACCAGGGGAAAGGGTTTGAGAAGGAGCTATGGGTGGCAGAGGAATCAATGCCAAGATCTCAGTCCACAATTTTAAGAGAGAAGAGAAGTGGCTGAGGCTGTGACTGGAAAACTGAGTACTGCCAGAATCCCTAAAATTTAGAACTAGTGAAGGGGGGAAAAACCCCCAAGAAAGAGGTGGGTGAAGGGAAGGTTGATTGCATGCAGTGGAGAAGTAAGATAGATAGACAAAAGATTCTGGCCAACATTTAGGCCTTAGATTTGCTGAAAGACTAGCGGCCAATGGGGCGAGCCCTTCCCCTGCCTTATTTGGCCCTCATAATAAAGTCCTCTTCGGCCGAAACTGCAGTGTTTACCCGCAGTGTAAAACCTTGCCGTCTCTTCCACTCCTTTCAAAACACAGAACAAAACAACAAAGAAGAGAGCCTTTTCCAATGAATTTACTCGACGACCCTTTTGCCAGACAACAACGTTTGCGAAACTGTGATGGCTGTCTCGTCAAGTGGGAAAAGGGAGTGCTCTGCCTCTTGGACTCTGTTTTTTTTTCTCTCCCCTTCTTCTGCTTTCTGCCCTCCTTTCTGTTGGTGTTGTTGTGAGAAATCTGAGATGGGGTGTGGTGATACACTTTGCTATGTTTGTGTGGGGAGAAAAAGTTGTACATGGAAAGGAGCTTTATGGAACAGGTTGTAAATGGTGAGGTATTTCTCGATTGTTGTTGGGAGGGTTTTGGGGATTGTGAAGGGTAAATTGCTGATGATATTGATTTGGGAGGTGTGGACTGTGGAGGTCTCACTCGGTTCAAACAAAGTCTATCGTTGTTTTTGGTTTCATGATGATTGGTGAAGTAACTAGAGAGAGTTGTCTTCAAAATGGAGACCATGAACCTTTCGTTCA